GATGTTAGCTCAGGGCCAGTCTTCGTCAGCAAAAAGATGAGGATTGGCAGCAGATGTTAGCTCAGGGCTAATCTTCTTCAAAAAAAGCTGCATTATGACTAAGATAACATGTTATTATATGAAATACTGAATAGGGAATAGCTCACTAAATCTTTAACACATGTCAGTGGAAGGGGGAGAATGGTGTTGATATGGTCTGTGCTGATGTCTTAGTGGCTGGGCCAAGCGTGGGAACAACTCAGTTTACTCCAAAAATCACACTTGGAAGCATTGTTGGTTGTGATTAAACACAATCTCCAGTGTGTGGTGAGTTGGTTCTGGTGCTCTAAAGCACCTTTGAAGCTCTGTGAATGAGTCTATGCTCCATCCAGTGAGCCAGTCTCAGAATCTCCCATTTCCTCAGTGTTATCCCCTTGTTCCCAGTGCCTCAGCCATAGTTTGGGATACCTTGCTACTCTCTGCTCCAGTGTCTCCATATGGCCTCATGGACCTCCATTGCCCACTGTGTTATGGCTTCTGGTTCACAGACAGAAGCTACGGACGGTTGTGTTTGCACTGCCTTTAGTACTGGGCTTTCAATAGTTCCACTCTGTGTTGGACCCTCTTCTAGAACCTTACCGTGGATTGAGTTCTTAGGTACAATGAACATCTGCTCCAGACTTTGCAAGGAAATCTTAATTCCATGAAGTGGCCTTATCTCCTGCTTTGCTCCTATGTGCCTGCTGTTCTCCATCCATGCTGAAGAACTTGAAGACCCAGTTCATGCCTCTGCATGATGTACACGGTATTATCTCAGCTTGGAGTGTCTGCTCCCTGGGAAGTACAGGGACATGGCCATTAAGTCTTTGTGCCATTTTCAGGTGAGGAAATTTACTCTAAGTCCAACAGATGAATTTCCACCTTTTCAGCATTAGACTCCAATCCCTCATCAACTTTTTCCCGAACTTTTACAACCGCCTCCTATGTGTTTTCCCTGCCAGTCTTTCCCCACTCAAATCTGTCCTCACTGCTTCCAGAATGATGTCACTTACTAAATTGCTCTTAGTGATAGAAAGTGTCTCGAACCCTGGGTCAGGAAGTGTGTCTTCCAGGGCAGCTTCAACGAGAGACTCAGGGAAAATCACTTACCTTCTCTAGGACTCAGTTTCTTCGCCTGTAAATTAGGTATGTTGGACTATGTGAACTCTGATGTCTGTACTTGTTTTATAGGTCTGTGATTACAACTTGTCTTACGGACTCAGATGACGTCTATTCATGGAGACATTTCTGACTATAAAACTTCACCTGCTCTTAGGAGAAACTGTGGAATCCATTCTGTGTAAAACTAATGTTAGTGAAGAATTAATTTGGGCAAAATGCTTTCCGGTATATAAAAGAACAGAAAGATATTGACCGTACAATGAGGGAGATGATCAATGGGGTGTGCTTGTATCTTGGGATGGAGGCATGGAGGCCCGTAGGTACTAGAATTTAGTTAGAAGTACAGAGGCAGAAGCAGATGGAGCAGGAGATTCTCAGTATCAAGAAGGAAGAAGCCACTGCCCAGGACCTAGAGGGAAGTAGAGCTGGGCTACACAGTTCAGATAGTGACGGCAAGAACCAGGAAGAAGCAGGGCAGCATCCAAAAACCACGTGATAAAAATCCAGTCTGAATAAGGAAGACAAGTGGGGGAACTAGGAGAGGAGGAGTGGATATGAGTGAATTTGTATGTGGAATGTTATTTTGGTGATGGACTCACCAGCATATGGCTATAGAAATGGGATAGCATTATATTAATACTTCAAAGACAACTTCAAGTTCCCAACTTGTGAAGGAAGGAATTTGAACCCTTCAAAATAGCCCTAAATTTCTGAGTGTTCACAATGGGGCTGACAACAAGCCTTCCTCAGCAATTATTGTTAAAGTCTGCCTTTTGTTCTCTTCAAGTTGCTGTGCATCATCTGCAAGGGCCCCCGTGTCTCCCCCTTACTAAAAATCTAGAGAGAGCGCCTTCTGGATTCTTTTACCTACATCCAGGCAAGAGGTGTTCCATGGAGTCCAGAGCAGTATCCCCCAGATTGCCACAAATTACGTTCAGTGACTTAAAGAGCAGGAAAGGAGGGTGCTCGTATTTTGACGCCTCCTCTTTTGCCCTCTTTCTGGGGTCTCACCTTTCCTTCAGAGATGTTAGAAACAAGGAGGACAGTGTGCTGAGAGCAGTAAGCTGTCTTGATCACTACGAATCCAGTTTGACTTGTAAGCCCCCAGGGCGAGTTCTTACTGTGACACCCAGAGAGAGAAGAAGAGAAGGCAAACCTGCCAATCCTGAGTGATTGACACTGACCGTGGGCAGTGCTCAGAGGCTCACAAACACCCATTCTTGGATTGATTTATTTTTATTTATACAAAGCCAGAAACCCTCTTTTCTTTGTTCCTCCTTTAAGCCCACTCAGTTTCCACCCAATACCTGCATCCTGCCGTCCACTGGACAGTCCCACAGTGCTGCTGACTCTCTGCCCAAAGCAGGCTTCCACCACCATCTCCTTCGGGGAGAGTGGTTGGACCTCCTGCTTGCGTATGTCTGGCACCGTGCTATCCTTTATTGGTGACAAACCTGTTGTTAGTTGGTTTCCTTCCAATTTTGTGTAAACCATAGTGAGTTTAAGATGCAGATTTTGCAAAGAACCAGATGTTATCAGAAGCACCAGTTGGTGTTAAAATGACCTTTTGGGGCCAGTCCCAGTAGCCTAGTGGTTAAGTTTGGTGTGCTCGTCTTTGGTGGCCCAGGTTCTGTTCCTGGGCACGGACCTACACCACCCTGGAGGCCCACATGCTAAAAAATAGAGGAAGATTGGCACAGATGTTAGCTCAGGGTGAATCTACCTCAGTAAATAAAAGGGACCTCTTTTTTCACTTGTTATATCATACGTTTTGTTCTCGCGGACGCCAATAGACGTTATATTGACCTGTTTTTCCACTTGATGTTTGTACTTGTGGCTGTTTAGTGCCAGCATGTTTTCCTCACACATTTGTGACAAACTTACCCCTTATCATGCTGCTTCCTGTTCCTTCACTTATTTCCCATACCGCCTTAACTTTAAAATCTCCTTAGAGAGATAAGCTCAGTTAAAATTTGCATTTTATGACATATTTTCCTTTTATTCTATCTTTCTCCTTTTAGTTTTTAACTAGCTTTGACCCTTCTTCACCAGCAAACTTTTTTCTGTTTGATATTGCCCTCTCAAAGTGTTCCATTCGTCAGGATCTTTTAACATTTTGCGACATCTGGAGGACTTTCTCCCCTTGGAGTGAGGCACAATGAGGCCCACTGTGGTTGGAGAAGCTGGTGATTTGCCATCTGAGGTGCACAGCCACGTGGGAATAGAAATAATCTTGAAAGAGGGTATAGAACCCTTGCCTGTGCAAAGTGAGTCATTGTTGGATAAATGGCCACAAGCAACATGACCTATCTTGCACTAGGACACACGTGCTGGCTAGTTGATAAACTCAGCGAAGCTTTCAGAGGATGCCTCTCTCCGCTGCGCAACTGCTGCTGGCAATACTTAGGAAAGATTATAATTTACTGCCAGGAGGATAAGAGAAACAACTCTGAAAGGTCGTTCACAGCATCACCAAAAATCCCGATTCTCTCTCCAATCTGCTTGCATCCTTTTCTATCAAATAAACCACATTTTGCAGAGATCTTTGGAACATTGATAATGTCCTATGATACCCCTTCTGGTTCCGTACAGGAAAGGTACACCTGTACTCCTACAGGTTCACCTCCTTATAGGAAAAAACAGCATCCTGTATTTTCAAACAGATGGTTATAAAAACTTCAGTGTGGGCCTCACATAATGTGTGTTAATCAATATACAGCCTTTTCAGTAAACAATTTCAGAAACCAGGTGTGCTTTTCAGGTAATTCTTTTTTATCTTCTCTTTTGCATCATTATGGATTTATGACTCTCTGATTCCCTAATGCAACCTTGCTTTCTCTCGACATCTGGAATTCACATACTAATCCTGATTTCTTGTCCCTGCCCAGAAACATGGAATCAACTCTCCTCCAAGGGCATTTGTTCCTTCCGCTGGAGGAGAGTTTCAGAAGACACAGGCGCTAGTTCTGCAAATAAACTTGCTCCACATTTTGACTGGAATTTGGCAGGATGGCAGCAAAAGCATCCGGCAGCATAAATCACTGTAGGGACAGAACAGATAATGCCTCCTTTAAAAAGTGTCCATGGGTTCTTATTGACATTTCCAATTCGCCTCTATTTTAATAAGTTCTTCTTGCCTTACTCTAACAGAAGAGTTTATTAATCCATTTTTTTCCGTTTTTGAACAACTAATTTTTCTTGTCCATTAATGTTAATAACAAAAAGCTATATATTATCATATCAAACCACGGCTCTAAATTTCAGCATTGCCTCCCCAAAATTCAGAAGCCTCCATATCTTTTCTTCTTTCTGGACCCTCAGCTCAGCCATCCTGAAACCGGCTTCAGAGGGTGCAGGTCCCATTGATTCTTTGGTCAGCGTTGGCTTAGCACCAATATCCAAAAGGAAAGAAGCCCCAGCCTCTGTCTAGGGGAAAACCAAAGAATCTAAGAGTTCAGAACACTCACTGTGGTACATAGATATCTTGTTGGCTTAATAAAAAGTAATAATAAAGTACAGATTATAGACAAATACCATTTCTCAAAGTTTAAAAGAAATCTGTCAATTTTCTCCACTTGAGCTCCCCAGTTTGAATTCATTTTATTTTCCCTTTATATTTTTCCTTTCACTAGTGCCTTTGTATATTTATGGAGCAGAATTTTTAGTAAAAAATTGCAGTTTCACAGAAGCCCATAGGTACGTGCAGTGGTTTGTATCGACTCAGAAGAGTCGCCTGTCAACATCTCTTCCCACTTCTGCATTCAGCAACATCACGTTTATCGCTTGCACTCAGCTGTAGTGGAAGTATTTACACCATGGAAATTGGCAAACACCATAAATCAGGACTTTTCACCCAGATAGCCGGTTGTTAAGCATTTACAGAACAACTCTGGGTACACACATCAGTTTTCCCCAAACCAGTGAAAATGTCAGAATATAAAATCAATTAACTTCCAGAATTATCAAAGTAATATACCAAACATTATGGTTGGGAATTCACACTCAAGAAATTTACATAGAATAGCTTTTGGAGCTTTATATAACTTCTGCAATATTTACTGCATAGTGCTCCCCAGAAACAACCCTTAAAAGACAAAAAATACAATCGAATTATAGCACATTTTAGTAAGAATATCCAAGGCACATTAATTTATTTGTACATCAGTTTCAAGTAATTTCCATACATGTTTTTATCTATCCCCAGAGGGTTTTATTTCCACAACAGACGAACATAAAGAATTCAGGGATTTCTGTTTATTAACATTTCTGTGCTAATGTCCAATTTTTCATGTGAATTAATGCACTCGGTGCTCTCTCCTCCCCAGCTGCTCACTCTGTAGTAACTGTGTATCTCCTGGATGATATGGAGGATAGAGCCTAGCAAGCTCTGAGTGTGGGGTCTGGCTTTGCCAAAATCTAAAACGGGCTGAAGAAATATTAAGCTTCCTTATTGGGTCTGAGTGGGGCTGGCCCACTAATTTGTTCTTTCTAGTAGTCTGTCATGGCACCCCTGGTGTTATTCCCAGGAATGTAATGGCCTCGGATATCTCATTGTTGGAAACTGTTCATAGTAGAGGTCTTCATTTTGTTGTTCATTTAGCACCTGAATTGAGGCAGGAGAAATATTTCTACCTGAAAGCTCTGTGGAGTTCAATTCCCCTGCCTTTTTATTGCCACTTCCACAGAGAAGTGGCCTCCCCAAGTGAGGAAGCCAGGACACTCTGGCCTTGCCCTCCAGCTGCCCTGGGACAGTACTCGGCCTGATTTCTCTTTCTGGGGGTGTGGCATTCTGAGCTAAATCTCATCTGAGTCTACCACTCTTCCTCCCTACTCTCTGGCATTCCCTCTCATCCCAGCCCTACACCTTGAACAGATCTCTCTCTGGCATTGCCCCCATATTTTTGCTTGCCCCTTAAACTTGGCAGGGTCTGGCTGTGCTCACTCGAGGGCACAGGGTCATTCCTTGTTGGAGCATCTGCCTGTGCTTGGCCATGCCAGCTCCCAGCACCAGACTGTTCCAGATGCCCCCTCTCTCCCTCACTGAGTTCCCTCTACCTAACACCGCCCATTTTACATCCCTCCACATTCTACAACATTCTATTATCTTCTACTGTGTTTTCCTACCTATTAATAAGGAAGTTTGTGAGGGACGGGTGAATTCTAACTCTTCCCCCTTTTCTCCGTGTCAGAAAGCTGCAGAAGCCACAGTACAACCCAGATCCAAAATTGACTCAGAACCAGAGTTTTTGTTTTCTAAGACTTGTAACCTTGGAGAGACCCCAGGCTTATCATCAGCCTCCCACTTATCTCTCCAAAAACATTTGTGTCTGGCTAATAGTGTTGACCATTTCTATAGCACTTTTAATTTCTGTTATTTCTTCAAGCCAGGAATTATTTCAAATATTTTTGATTTCCAAGAGGACAGATATTTCTTGGATAGCCTTTTATTTTGTTGTCTTTTTAAATTCTATTGCAGTATTCAGAGAGTGTGAGATCTTACAGTTTCTGCTTATTGGGCAATTATACTTTTGTGGGTTATTAAAATCTACGCATAGGGCATCATATTGCATTTACCATCTACTATTTGCTTTTTGTATTCCTAATTTTTTCCCCCAAATGTATCTCCCTCATCTGGGTGTATCTGATTCATTTATTTTAACTGCTGTTTAGGATTTTGTTTATGAATGTGCATTTATTGATTCACTCGTTCTCCTATTGGTGGACATTTTGATTAATTTCTTTCTCTTTCTCTCTTTTTTTCAATGAGATACAGTGCTTCACTGAACATATGTATATGTATCTCCTTTTTCAATGAATGCCAGTTTTCTCTCAGGTGGGTGCCTGAAATCGTAATTGCTTGATCATAGGTTATACAATATCCTGCTTTGCACATATCCCTCAATTTCACCCCAAAGGTGTTGTAATAGTTTACAAATTTCTATCGGTAGCTTATGAGACTTTTCCCCATATCCTTGCCAACACTTGATAATTTTTAATTTTTGCCATGATGATGGTTGTACAACGATATCTTTTTTTGGCACATCCCTGAAGAAAGATATATGTCTTCAGACTGAAGAAACTTGAATCCTGAGCAAAATAAATAAAAATAAAACCATGCTTAGTGACATCACAGTGAAACTTCAAAACACCAAAGACAAAGAAAAATCTTAAAAGCAACTAAAGGGAAAATATAATTTACTTACAATGGAAGGACAAGTACACTGACAGCAGATTTTTCACTGGCAACTATAGAGGTCAGCAGACAATAGGATGATACCTTCAAAATGCTGTTGGGGGGAGAAAAATAGCTGTCAACCAGAAGTCTGTATTACTCTCCCAGTGGCTAGATCTGTGCAGCCTTGATTGGCCTCCCCCATCTTCTTCAGAAATAGACACTGCTCCTTGACCAAAGGGGTGGGTAGGTGTCTGAAGCTGGGAAAATCCTAGAACCTCATACCCTCTGGTCACATGAATGATCCAAAGAGTAGGCATATAAACAAAGAAATACAGAAAGAGCTGTGGACACAGCCCTGCCTTCTCCAAGCTTTGGAGATGCATCCTCTTTGTTTTGGTCACTTGCATCTGAGAGTCCTGAGAGGAAGCATTTTGAGGAAGAGAGAGAGAGAGGCAATTTAAGGGGTCCTAATCAGAGCTCATTTTTTAACTACCTGGAGGTATAAGTGGTAGGGGGCAGGTGAGATGTGTGGACTGGAAAGCTGTACCCAACCACTGTGCAAAATGGGAGACAGAGGCAACCAACAAAGCACTAGATAAAAGCATTGCCCACCAGGAGATGAACTTTGATAGGCCCCTCCTTTCAGCAACTTTCCAGCTCAGAAAATAGAGCAACTCCATTTGTGTACACTCCCACCACAATCACAGAAACCACGTGGATCTGAATGTCCTTGTGTAGTATGTCTATATTCAAACTAAAGACAACATAATCCATCTAAATCACAGAATTTCAGGACTGTAGGAGAAAGTTACCATATAACATTGTTCTAAATCAGTTACATCCCAATGGGGGTCTAAAATGTTCAGAAAACTGAGCTGCCTTAAGAAACAACATTATAAAGCTTTGTTGGGTGATATGTATACACTAATGCTTTCTCATTTCCCCAGCAATTTGAGTTTCACAAGTCGGAAGAGAGAGGAAGTTGGAATGACATGCCAACCAAACCTCCTTCCGTATGGGTAAAGAGCATCAAAGGTTTGCCCCTACCAGGAGCCCTGTACCTCCCACTGCTTATGGTTTTGAACAAGAGAAAGACTAGGAATGGAAGGGAGGGACCCACTTCTCCCACAGCACATGAAGCAGCAGAAGGAAAAAGCCACAAAAAGGGAAAGAATCATTCTCTCTCTCTTTCTTTGTCTCTGTCTATTTCTCTCTCTCTCTCTCTCTCGCTCTCACACACACACACACACACACACGCTCACACACAAACACACATGTTTTGAACTCCAGAGATTCTTTTATTAGGACCCCAAGAGCTCACCGAAAGGAAACTTATACCAGAAGAAAAGGAAGGTATCGCAGGAGAAGGGGGTTCAAGTATTTGGCTGAGGACTCTTGGAGACTTGAGACAATGCAAGTAACAGCACATTAAAACTGCAGGTGAAAGCAAATTAAGGAAGTAGATTCACCAATGACATAACCATCCTAATTCAGGAGAGCATATCTGTAGGGCATGTGACATCTTGGCATCAGGCCATTTGGGGAAGAGAAGAAAATTGGGATGGGGAGATCTGGAGTCAGAATTCACCTACCTGTGAGTGAGCACCCCTCTCAGAGGCCATTCTTGGTCACCTAACAGTGGGAACCTGCATGAGTCAAAGTGCTTCTGGTTTGGTGAGAATCTCAGGTAGCACCTGGTAACAAGATCCGGAGAAGGCAGCGAAGACGATGTGAAGCCCAAGCAATAAAAATGTAGGAAGGTTGTAGGTAGCTCTGCCAGAAATCTAAAAACCAAGATCTTTTGCCAATTTAAGTTGTAGAAAAACAGATAAGTGAGGGAAAGAGAGGAAAGGAAGACAGGAGCTGAAAGACAAGGAAGGAGTGGCAACTGGAGGGGGCGCATGGGAGCCTGGAGTGGGGAGGAAGCTGTGGTTTCCTGTCTCTCGATGTTTCCGCCCTCCCATCCCTACCTGCTGAGATTGGTGAGCAAATCAGATAAGATTGCCAGTCTCAGAAAGAAGCTGTGGCTTAGAAAAAAGAATGGGCTTGAAGTTCTGAATAAATATGTTATGCAGCTGAAACACTTGATCTTGATCTTTGCATCGGAGGAGAAAAATCATAAGGAAGGAAATGGACAGGATCACTTTAAAAAGAAAGAGTTGGTTGGCAGACTAATACAGTAAGAAGACGAAAAATCAGGGAATTCAGATGGTACCAAAATCCACATTAACAAGAGTTAAGAAAACAGACATCGTTTACATTCCAAGCCCAATAACGAGGTGTCAGCAAGGCTGGACTGGAAGAAAAAAGTTGGAAAATGATTCTTTTTTTACTGCTTGCAACCAAAGCTCTAGTCGAAAATAAATGCAAAACCTTGCAGCTGGCAGTAGCGATCCTTAACGATCTCCATCAGCAGAAAACTATGATTCTATTAAAGGGTCTGACTCAGAAATTCTGCTTCCAGAAGCTTCTCTCTTCTAGAAGAGAAAGAACAGAAGCTGTCAGCTGCAGAAGGGGATATTACAGAGAATTTAAGAAATGGAGGGTGAATTATAGTGAAAACAGATTATGTAAAAATCTGTTGGATGACTATGCAGGGGGAGGAAAAAAAAAAGAGAACATCAGCCTTTTTCTTTTTGGTGCATCAGATTTCTTCCAATACAGAAGAGAGATGCTGCCTTCCTGAGACAGAAATTGCAGATAACAAACCCAAAAATTTGTGTACTTCAGAGATCTCAGAAATAAAACCAAATGCAGGGAGATTTACTAAGTAACTCCCATCAACAAGAGGTCCTGGAGGCCAGGCGGGCTCCCACAGGACCCTCCCCATGACTGAGGGACACTCTGCCCCCCAGTGTACCAAACACCTTTCTCCTGATATGCCTAGAAGTGAATTAATTAGCTGTGAATGGGCTTGCACCTAGGTAGAGGGACATATGAGGTGTCAGGAAAAACTTTGCTCTCTGGGCCAGCGTGGCGGCATGGTAGTAAAGTTCATGCCCTCCACTTCAGAGGCCCGGGGTTCTCCAGTTCAGATCCCGGGTACAGACCTCAGCATTGCTTATCAAGCCATGCTGTGGCAGGCGTCCCACACATAAAGTAGAGGAAGAAGGGCACAGATGTTAGCTCAGAGCCAGTCTTTCTCAGCAAAAAGAAGAGGATTGGAGGCAGGTGTTAGCTCAGAGTTAATCTTCCTCAAAGAAAAATTTAAAAAATGAAAAAAAAATTTTTTTAACTTTACCCTCTGATCTGTGTGCAAACATGATCTAATGGATGCAAAGTTGCCTGAATGTCTATTGGGTCCCACACTCTCTGAATGACAGACTACCCAACCCTCTTCGATGATGATATCACAACAGTGATAACTCCATGTCATCATTAATCAAATAGATTTGCCTGGAGGTCAACACAGGGCTGTGCATGGGCCACCACCTGAGCCAAGGGACTATTTTCAATATCTGATAAAACATCTGCATCTAATATTGGCCCAGTGTGGCTTCATTAATAAAGAATGGCCCAAAAAGCTCTCACTTTCTTCATGCAGCAAGGGCTGGTTTGGCTAATGCTGATGCAAATAACTTCCTATCTTTATCAAGAATATCTGTCATTAATTCACCACAGAAAAGACTTTCACCCTATCAGCCACCTTCTCAAACACGGACCCAGACGCTCTTCCCCGCCCTTTCTTCCTGGGGAGCTTACATCTTCTGCACAAAGGGACCTTTAGAAACTTAGACCCTCTTGCCACAAGAAAGTACCTTCTTTCTGGACTCTAATTACTTGAGATTATCTACCTCTCTCTCTACAAAATACTTACAGCCTTTTGGTTCTAGAGGGGCATCCACTAGCCTCTCCAGATACACCACAGGGTCCCACAGACTTCTGGCCTCAGATTATGAATGGACTCTCAGGACCGTTCATATGCTTCAAAATCCAATGAGAATGTTACTCTAGTAATGAGATTTACTACTTTTTTAGAACTTAGTTTTGTTGTTAAGAGATCTTTTTGAGCCAAATGATTCGAATCTGATAGATATTTGATTTGCTATGAAGTAAGGCCACCACTTAAGCTGTAACTTACCATGTTCTCCACTCTCCTCAAGCCTATTTTATGTATTATGAAAGTAGTTTATATAGTTAAGGTAGCATATGCAACAGAAATAGATTTGTAGTACCATGTTGAATGTAACACGTTTACGTAAATTCATTTAAAAGTAAAAGTATAGGTATAATTATTAGGACAATATGTTAATCTATGCTCTTTTGCTCATCTGTACTTTGGGTAAACCTATCCAGTTGATCAAAAGTCAAAACAATCAACTTGGTGGTAGGTGAATTGTTGCCTAAGAGGAAATAAGTAGTCACTGAAATACCAGTCAACTCAACCCAGCCCTATGATGTAATGCCAAAGAGTACATTCTTCAATTCAATAAATTATTTAGAGAATCACTAACATAAGTATTCTGTCAATATTTTCTTACAGTTATGAAAGTGAAGGTTGTCAGACTCTGTTATCCCAGTGGAATCCTTTATATATAAAAAATCAGAAGTCAGCATAGACCCTAAAACTGCCTTAGTCGATGTGGAGGTGTAACCAGGAGCCCTATTGGCTCCACCTCCTTCTGATCTCATAAGGTGCATCTCCAAGTACCTCAGGGCTCCACCAAGCTCAAATTGGAAACTTCTAGGCTGCAGTATGATGGCAATAAGGTCAAGGTCATGGTTCCAGTGGCCATGGGGGCCAGGACCAACCTCTCTCATTTACACATGTAAAACATCCTGTGGTATAGGATGGATGCATAGTTGATACTCAATAAAAAGAAGTTATTTTTATCTTTATCTGTATAAACCAACATTCCTGCAAGTATGTACCTGTGCTACAAATAACGGTGAGTATGCAAAATCTCTCCAAATTACAGCTGCACATCCTAAAGTTGGATCAACAGAATCATCTTTGTCCATTAAGAACACTTCATTTTATCAAAGCAGTGATAGTAAGTGCCTGAGACATGCGCAGAGGAGTCAGGCAAGAAGCCCTCCCAAGATCCTTCCAGGCTTGAGTTTCCACATTTCTCTGGTGTTAGAACAGCAGCCCAGACAGACATTGACAGCACAGCCCCATCTCGCTGAGATCTGTCAGAATTTTTGCATATTCCCGTGGTGAAAACTTCCTCATGATTCTTTATTCCTTGGGAAGATTAGACTCTGCCTTTCTTTCTCCAACTCATTCATCTTCCATCTGAGACCCTGTGGGTCTCAAGTTTAGATCTAGGATTTACAACTAAATATGAGGTTGTAGGCAATGACTTAGTGGAAAAATAGCACCTTGAATTGTAAATTAATTAATTAAATTCACCTGGAGAAAGGGTTTTTTTTTACAAGATTTCCAAGACCTGGGATGAAGCGATTTCTTTATAATCCTCTTCACCATCCTTATATCTCTCACGCCCAACACCACCACTACCCATTGTGAACACATCACTTCACATCCTACTTCAAGAAAAAAATCAAAGCTACAGGCAGGAATTGCCTCAAGATCCTGCCACTGACCCTGCAAACCCACTGAAACCTATACTCTCCTTTTCTCCTTCCTTTTTTCCAATAAACAGGGACCGCTGCTCTGTGCCTGATCCCCTCACCTGTACCCTGGATTCCCACCCCCCACCTCCTAAGTTCTTGACTCCATCAATTGTCTTCTCCTCCTTCTTCATACGCCCATTCTGCTGCCTTCTTCCCAGCAGCAGTCACCATGCTCAAGTGTCTCCTGAGTTCATGGAATGTTCCAGCTATTGCCCTATCCTCTGCTTCCCTTCACGGTTAAGCTTACTTGAGGGAGTTGCATCTCCCTCCATGAATTCCTCTTCCTCACCTCCCATTTACTCCATGCAGAGTGTGCCCCACAAGGTCACCAACAGTTCCTTATTGTTAAATATGATAGACACCTTTGACTTCCCAAAAATATCTACACTTTTGAGAAATTCTTCCTATAAAAAAACAACAAACAAGCATCCATTCAGTCAACAAGTGTTTATTGATTTCTTACTAGTGCTAGGAGCTGAGAATGTAGCAGTAAACATGTGTTGGCAATCTTGGAGTTTAGATTAGAAGGGGAAGAGCCAAGCAATAAACAAGTAAATAAATGAACCAGGTAATTCCATAGGGTGATAAGTGCTGTAAAGACAAACAAACTAGAGTGATGGGCTAAACAGTAACTATGGAAACCACACTGCGTTTCCAAGGGAAGCATCTCTGAGATGATATTTGAGCTAAAGACACCAATACAGAGCTCTTGGGCCAGAGCATCACAGGCAGGATGAACAAGAACAGACCCTGAGATGGGCCCAAGACCAGAGTAAATACAACAAGATCCTGTTTACATGTACAAAGGAGAGAACAGAAAGAAGGCAAGAAAGTGTAGTACAAAAAAAAAGAGGAAGATTGGCAGCAGATGTTAGCTCAGGGCGAATCTTCACCCCCCAAGAGAAAACGAAAAACAACAGCAAAAAAAACCTGGGATGGCTTTTGGAGTGGATCCTGCTGGATCCTAAAGAGAGATGGATCCACTCCAGTTCCTTTCCTTTCATCCCCCAACTCTGAGCTGAGTAGGAAAAGTAGCCCAAGAAGGGCTCATACAAGGCCACCGCTGGGCATACAGGGGAAACCTAAGTCAAGGGCAGGCCCCAGAAGGGAGTGTGTTAGAGTGTAGTCTCATGATCAGCTTCAGTGATCAGGGTCTCAGCGGGCATGGGACCAACATGGGACTTGGAGGGGCTCTCCAGTATTTGTGCCTGGGAGAGAAAATGAGAACCCAAAGACATCTTCCCAAAGCCAAGTTCCAAAACACACACACACCCCAATCCACAAGAGCACAAGATGATTTGAGGGTCTTCTACTTAAGCCAGAGGCAATCCCCCTCCATCATGTGTGTATGTGTAGGGCGTGGTGGAACCAGGGTGAAATAGGGGTGTTAGTTCCTGTGGCCCTGATCAAGAGCACATACTCAAGATCAAAGTTCTTCCCAAGAGTCTAAGGCTACAGATAGTGGGAGCAAAATAGAGAGACGAGAGGAAAAGTCAACCCCTAACCCTGCTTCCTTACAATTGGGATCAGACTCCTGCACTCCTGAATGGCCTCCTACACAGGCAGGAGTCTTAAGACTGCTTAATCTCCCCTCATGTGCGTCTCCTCCACTTAGTTCCCCTCACTCCCCAAGGCAAAGCTCCTTTCCTATTTTTCCTGATCCTACTACAGTGTCAGATGGAAATGTGGAGGAACCCAGCCAGAGAGAGCACAAAGGGACAAGGCCTCAGCCCTTCTCAGGAATTGGGGTGCAGCCCTGTCTCCAGGACCCCTTCAAGAGAGGGGCTGGGTGGAGGGCATCTGATTGAGGCCAGACAACTTGCCCAAAGCAACACAGTTTGCAAAACAATGAATTCTAGAGTAGGGACTATCCAAATGGAAAGCAAATGGCACAGGGGAAGAGAGGAACCCAGACAGAGGATTAATTACAAAGAAGAGGGTCAAGGATCAAAAAAGTCAGACTCCGCAACAGGATGCCAGGGACAGAGAGGAACAGAGGCTGGAGGACAACACATGGGCTGGCACTTGAGCCATCCTGATCCAAAGACCCTGGCAGCCTGTGCACGTCCTGGGGGAGAAAGGACTGCAGGTGAGACCAAAGAGCTGTGCACCGAGTTCTGGAGCCTGAGGGGCACTGCTGGGACCCACTGACTGGAGCAAAACACACAGAGATGCCCCTCTCACCTCCAGGCAGGCTGCCCAGCAGGCCCCCCACACCGTGGGGACCATGGGCATTGGCAGCTGCCACCTCCGCAGGTGTCTGCCCCTGGGTCATATTCGAAGCTGGATGACTCGCCCAAGGGCATGTTGGTCGAGAAGCAGTGAGCCCAGGAGCTGAGGCCATCCATTCACTTGATATTCCTTACTGGTCACTTCTTCTTCGGAGTTGGCTTGGTTTTCCTTTTCAATCTGGTTTATAAAAAGAAACATAAAAATCCACAACACTGTTAAGTGATAGACTTTTTCTCCATGCTCGGTTAATATAACTATGAATTTGTAAACTACCTTTGAAGTTATTATTATTCTAGGAAATCCAGCCTTAGAATCCCTCTCTTTAATTTCTCAATTCTGGTTGTATCTGGGCAAAATAAAATGATAATTTATTTTCCTGGCCTGAGCCTAGGAAAGATATTCATAAAAAGTCCTTCTATTTTTATGTACAATAATTATTGCTTTTATATTTAATCATTGCAGATAATTTTGAAACACAGAAAAACACAAAGGAAGTCAAAGTACCACCCCACTCTTAGAAAACAACTAGTTTTACTATCCATAGACTTAAAGACATGAACATACACACATATACACACAGGGTATATGCACTCACTCTACAAAATTGTGACCATATTGACATGTTCCTATTTTGATGGGGAACAGACGGTATTCAAGAAAGAGATAAACGATACCCAGTAAAGATATTATGAACACGTGGCCCCAGACAAGCATTGCCTGCAAGCTTATTCTCCAACTGAGAGATTATATTCTATCAACTGCAGCCTCTTTAGACAGCAGAATCTATGTGATCACCTTCAAAATGAGACCATGTCAAATAGTTTCAGAACACCATCAAAGTTCTTAATTTAAAATACAAACAAGAAAAAAAAAGAAGACCAAGATGTGTATATCAGAAATGTGCCATGCTTTTACACTAAAGACTAAATTTATGGGAATCACAGCTTTTCTGATAATTTGAGAAGTTTTTAAAATAAGAAATAAAATACATATTCAAGTATTAACAATAGCATCTTCCCAAACCCCAAATTATATATCGAGCTAACAGTGCTAACCCTCTTCAGACAGGATGGAGGATACCAGGAAAAATAAATGAAGAAATACTTTATTGAAACTTGTAGAGTGAATTGTAGCCTGGAAGTTTGGAACACATCCCTTGAGATTTGGGGAGGAAATCTTTACATCTTCTGGATCACCTCTATGACTCCAGACATGTGGCAGCCTGAATGGATTAGAACTCCTCATGGATCCTGCTGAATACAAAATCCTGGGTGCTGATACTAGCACGGAAGCCCACAGATCCCAGGCATCACCCTGTGCAGATACCACTGCAACAAGCCACTGCGGCATCTTAAATCATATAAACACTTAATTAACTAATTAGCATTTCAATGGCAATGGCAGCCACATTGATGCCACTGGGGCATCAAACTGTGCAGCAACAGCTCCTGAACTCCAGTTCAACCAGTGGAAGCAAGTGAGTTGGGGAGAATCTGTGAGTTAGAATTCAATGACACAGTGTCTCCGTTAAGGAAGTTCTAATAATATCCACTTACCTAGTACTATAAGATGATAAACTAAGCACTTTACAATAACTAATGAGGTAAATAATATCCTCATTCTACAGATGGGGAAATGTGGTTTTGAGAGAATAAGTAACTTGGATGGGCAGCAAAGCTCAGACCCAAACCTGATGCCAGAGTCCTTAACCTTCCCACTGTGGCAGACTGACTGCTAGGCGTATTTATAGATCTCATTCAGACGATAACATCAGCTAAGCCCTGAGTCAGGCCCTGGAGACACGAGTTTAAGATAGAGCCCCTGCTCGTGACTCATGCATACGCCAGCAAGAGAGGTGGACACGGGTGTCAGAAATGTAGCAGGTGAGGTACCAGTCAAGCCCATGGAGGGGGTGGCCATCTGCCAGCAAGAAACGTGAAGGCTCTTAAGTCAAAGAGCTATCCTAAATCTCCTTACCACTGACGTTAGTGATGATTCTGCAGACACAGGAGGGAGGTTCTTGGCCTGCACGAAATACTTGTCACATCATCCCCATTGACCAACTCAAAACAGGAAAATAAGTCACCATGACACAAAAATCAAACACGATATAAAATGACCTACTCATCTTGTAGCACAGCTTTGAAGGGTGAAAATTATAAAGACTGCCCACATAGCAGAGCAGAAGAAAGAAACACCTCGGACCCATGTAGCGTTAGGGAAGGAAGCGACATGAGTCTTTGGCTCACATGTGGGCAACCATCACATGAGTGCTCGTCAGCAGTAAATTCCCTCCAAGAAGAGCTTGGCCCTAACTGTGGATTGGAAATAAATCCACACGTAAATCCAATCCCCACAGCTTCGGTAACCATCTCCCATAAGCATCGAGGTGACATCAGTGCCTGGTGATCTTGGGCAATTACCATGATAACAATTCTAGGAGTAGTTATGACCTCTTTGATTCTTTAAATCCAAAGCACATCATGCTCATTCTCTAGATGGCAATAGAGTAAGTCAATGGATGAACGGGGGGAAAGATGACCCATGTCTTGAAATGAGGATTTGAAGAAAGAACAGATATAAACCAACAACCCAACCTGAGCGCCTTATCTGGTTGGGCTCAGGCCTCTGAGCTCTAACCTCTTTTAACAACCTCGAAAGCCAATTTGGCAAGGACTTAAGCTTATTAAAATATTTCTCTAAGAAGCAAATATTCTAAGTGAAATAGCACTTTAAACCATATGCCAAAACTAGGCATACAGATTGAAAAGTAAAAAATAAAACTCTCTCTATTCACAGGCAATACGACTGCCAACATAGAAAATCCCAGAGTCTACCATAAAAAAGCTAGCATAAGTGAGTTTAGCAAGATCACAGAATACATGATCAATATACAAAAATCAATTGCTTTGATATACTAGCAATGAACAATTGAAAATTGACATTGAAAAGAGTACTATTTTAATAACACCTAAAAAGTATGAAATACTTAGTTATAAAGCAAACAAAATATGTGCAAGATCTGCATGCTGGAAACTAGATAACAAAAAAGACCTAAATGATTGAAGAGATGTACCACATTGATAGACTCAATATTGTTATAGTTCTCCTCAAACTGATTATAAACTTAACACAGTCCCATTCAACATCCCATCAGGATGTATTGCAGAAATTGACGCACTGACACTAACATTTATATGGAAAAATAAAGGAATTAGAATAGCCAAAAACAATTTCAAAAATGAAAAACAATGTCGGGGAGAAGTCACATGAACTAATTTCAATACTTACTATAAAGCTACAGTAATCAAGTGTTATACTGGAGAAAGGAAAGACAAATAAATTAGCGGAACAGGACAGAAAGTCCAGAAATAAACTCACACATTATGGTCAACTGATTTTTCAATAAAATTGCAAAAGTGAGTCAGTGGAGAATATTTTCAACAAATGATGCTGGAACAGGTAAATACGCATATGCAGAAAACTTTAACCTCAATCCATACCTCACACTACTTAGAAAAAATTAACTCAAAATGGGTAATAATGTAAAGGTAAAACCTACAATTTAAAATTCCTAGAAGAAAACATAGAAGGAAATTTTTGTGACCTTGGATTACATACAATACAAAAAGCATGATCTTTGAAAGCAATTGGAAGAAAAGGAAGGACTCACAAAGGAGACTGAGAAAGTTCATGCAGAGAATTAGGAAAGAGGAAGCTCCTGGAAGCCAAGAGAATAGAGAATTTAATGACTGAGTGAGGGAGTGGTCAACCAGATCGACAGACAGGACCTGATGTCAAGACTGGATTCAGCATTCATTAGGCAAAGCAACACGAAGGCCATAGGTAAGCTGTTAGAGCAGATGCTGTGTGTGCTTTTCCTATGGCCCCTCACCCTTACCACTTCTGTGCACACTGGGCCAACATCCAGATGCGTTTCTTTGCCCGTGGGCTTTTTTCTGCTGCCACAGCCCACTTTGCCATCACTTGGCAGGCCAGAAGTATGAAGGAATTAATGCCCCCACCTTCAAAGCAGCATTGGTTGACCACTGACTGACAGGAACTGGTGTATAAGTGTCCCATCTCCTTTACCCCGTGGGTGGGACAACTCTGAGATGCATGTCCTACACTGGCTCATGGGGTTCCTCAACAGGATTAAGCCCCAGGGGCCACAGTGCAGGCTGGATGGATAATACACTTTTTGTGGGCTGCTTCCCTTCCCATCTCACTTCCTCCATTTCTCCAGCGTTCCCTTCCCCTCCCAAATAAACTGCTTGCCCTTTCATCGTTGCTTCTGGAGGAACCTGCACAGGAGGAATTCCAGCGAGGTGCTATGCGAAGAATCAGAGCACGGTCAGTTGAAGAGTGAATGGGATTTGGAGAAGTAAAGGTGACGAGTTCACACTATTCTTAAATTTCGCCTGAGAAGGGAAGAAAAGAGATAGGACAGGGCCGGAGGTGAACACACAGTCACCAGGAGACAGCCGAACATGTTTAAAAGCTATAGAGCTTTCTCTTTAGAGAATGTCTACTTAGACAACAGAAAAAGACAGTTTCTTTTTATACAGTAGAAAAATGTTGAAGCTGTTAGAGAGGTAAATAAACAGTGGAGCAAGACCCTGGAGGAGCAGGAGTGGAGGGAGGAAGAGCATGGTGTGAGCAGCGGGGGAAGGGACAGGTCAGGAAAAACGACTTCATCCTGGAGGCTGAGGTCAAGGATTCAGAGACAGACACACATCCTGACAAGCATGTCAGGGTGGGTGGAAGCAGGCTGGTCTGGAGAGGACCTGGGGCGCATCCATTTGTGGTCACCAACTGTTAAGGCTAGAAGGCTTTTCCTAGCCATGCTCAGTCTCCACGACTGGGCTCAGCAGCTGGGAAGCTGCGGCAGTGCTGGTGCGTCAGCAGCTTGATCTAGGATTGGGATGTGTGGGGATGAGCATAGCAGGAGGATGGGCGACAACAGGATTAAGGCTATTAGAGAGAGAGTGGTCACTGTGTGGTCTAGACTGAGGACATGTGGCCAGGGCAGAGCTGTCAGACTGAGAGAACACACACAGCTCATAGAACTAGAGGCCTCTTGGGCTCACCCAGGCCTCTGCATAAGCGACTGCTCTGCATAGGCACTGCACTATAGAGACCACGATGTGTAAAGGCCTGCTCCCAGTGGGAAGGAATTTATGACTTAGGTAGAGCAAGATTCAAGAGTTCTGTTGCAAAAGCAATAATGCAATCTGAGAGGCAGGCAGGGCAGGAGCCTCATCTAAGAGCAAAGTGCTTGGGTCCTTTTCCCAACTGCTGTTACCTGGAAAATGATAGATGAATTCCTGATTTTGTTTGTCTGTTGAGACCAAAGATAGATTGCCAGAGAATAACCACTGGCGTGAAATCAAGCATAACATGTGCCTGGATGGAATTTTTCCACAGACACGTAAGAAAGAAGTTCTTTCTAAGACATGACTACAAAGTCAGTGTTTGTTGCGTGGGGAGGTAGAGGGAGCGCTCAGAAAAGGGACTGGAAGGGCTAGTTTACCCCCTCATGGGTCAGCACTCTTCTGAAGTAAATTGTAGCTTGTCAGGTATATAATTGCATTGTTCTTTGGCAGTCCTGATAATTCCAAACAAACCCAAAACAATATACCACTATGGATCTTCCACAGCTACAAGGGAAAGTGGGGTGGTTTCTACTCTGTGACCAATGTATCCAGCATGTAGTCATTCAGTTGGTGTGCTTGTCCTAAACTTTAGAAGCAATGCCCTGCCATGCCTAGCCCAGGATGGTGGGTGGTCAATAAAACACCAAAGCTGGCTTGCTTCAGTTTGAAACTCAAAGTTAGAGTATTCTCTGTCCTCAAAAGGCCAAATTCTGTGGAGAACCAGAAGCCATGTAGAACCTTTCCCCTCTAACAATCAGTTCTCTTTCCTGGGCTTTGATTTTATTATCTGCTGAAGTGAGAGAAGGGAATCAATAAGGGGCTGGAGAAGCAGAGGGATCCACGAGGTGGGACCATGAATGTGGGCTGAGGGTGGAGGCAGCCGAGCTCAGAGGTGCTCCTGGAGGGAACAGCAGCATCACCATGGGATGGGCCCCCATAAATACCATCTGAGCAGCTGGACCAGGAATGTGCATCATTTCCCTTGATTGCCCAGAGCTTGTGCAGTGCTGTGCATGCGGTCTTGATGAACAGGCTTGAAAACACACGCAGAAATAAATTGGTGCTCCAGGCTTCTGCGGTGCAGGGCTCGATTTGGTACAACAAGATGTTCTGTGAAAGAATGAGTCAAAGACACACAGCACTGCCCAAATATGTGTGACTGACCCCAAACCAGTCACTCATAGCCACAGTGGTTTCAGAAGACCACAGATCCGCAGCTCCCAAAAGTGGAGCACTGAGAAATCAAAAGCAGCTCAGCCCAGGAAAAATGTGTTAACCCTAAAGGCAAGGATGACCTATGGAATCCTAAATTCTTGAAGAATTGAGAGAATAGTATAAACTAAGAGGGAGATGCCAGGGTTTTCTCCCATCAAATATGAGAATACTCCATGTTCAATCAGGATGCAGGGAATCACACCATTTGGATCGTAAGACGTAAATATTCTCGGGATTATTGAGAAGATCCATCCAAGTGAGTGACTAAGGACCCAAAAGACCTTTGTCAAAATTATTTGACCTCTAAAGGTCAGGCCTCAGGAATGGCACCATTTCAGAAAGCAAGCCTACTTCAGAAAACCTTTTCGGATCCTTTCTTCATGTGCCATTTAGTAGCTCTACTTAAGAGTGAAATTTTTCCCATAATCTTCCTCTCACCCCTTTGATTGAGGATAGTCAATCAGTATCAAAAGAGAGAATAGATAGTATGGCTAAGCAATGGCTCTGAGGCATTCCCTTAGGATCTTTGGGAATCTGAGAAGGAAAAGTGTGTATCTCAGAAGGGCTCAGATGGTGCATCCGCAAAGTCGTGGGACATTATGAACAGAGCCTGTCAGGTCCCCTGGTCTCAGGTAAAGGACAATGGCTAAGGAGGCAGTGACAGCCTATTGGAGGCACCTCCTCTGATACCCACTGAGAAGAGTTAACTGAGGGAGTCAACATATGCCAACACTAGGATGTCTCTTGAGTTTAAGCGAAAAAAACCAGCAAGGCTGGGTCCAGACAAATTTGTGGCTCAAGCGAAGTCTGCTTTCATTGTCTTCCATCTCCTTTCCATGTCCTGCTTGAACTCTAGCCACCCAAACAGCCATCACGCAACTCACTGTAGATGGTGGCCTGAAGTCACCACCACAGATGACACGTCTCATGTACAGTTAAGTCCCTCTGCTCTGCACATTTCCTACCACTTCCATATCAAAGTTTACAGAAGTCCTGTGCTAGGCCCCTTTCACTCAGGCCCCTTGGAAGGGCCTACATTAATGACTAGGTCACCTGGCGTACAACTTCCTATTACGGTTTTAGCAACTGGTAGCCTGTTACTTCCTTCACAAATCAACCTTACCTGATCTTGCACTCTTAAATACTTCCACTTTTAGTACCATAAATGTGGCACATTTCTTTACTACAAATCACAGATAATGTAGATCATTTATTTTTGGATGATGTAGGTCAACGTTTCTCAAAGTGTGGTCTGTATACCACCTGTCACTATGCTGGGGGACAGGAGTTGCTTCCTGAAAATGCAGATCCCCAGGCCTCACCAGTGATCCAAGCAATTAGGTTCTCTGGCAGCATCTTTAACAAGCTCCCCAGTTGATTCTTCTGCTAATTAAATCTGCAAATATCATATGACATGCATACGCAGCATTGTGCTATGCAGGTGCTGCATATCAGAGTAGATATGAGAACCTCAAACACAATTAATGCCCACTATTAACTTATAAAACAGGGTCATTTCTAAATATTAAAAGGACTAAAAAGTTGACCTGCCATGTGTGTGGGCAGGGAGTATATGGAAACCTCTGTACCTTCTGCTCAATTTTGCTGTGGACCTAGAACTGCTCTAAAAATTGAAGTTTATTTTTAAAAAAACAAATTGACTTGCCTAAGATGGAGCAGATGGACATGTGCCTCCTTGGCTCACTTTTTCTGTCTATATGGATCATCCTCCTTTTAGCCTCTGCCATCCTAGCCTAACCTCCTCTCTGAAGCCCCAAACTCCTGAGAAAGAGCCCAGCTCCAGGCTCCCATAGCCCAATGTACATACTGATTATGACAATATTAGAGCGTTGACACCCTACACTGTGACCAACCATTCTCTTTTCTGATCCTGGTGAAGCACAAACCATCTGGTTTCTTCACTGCCATATTCCCACCCTCTAGTGTGGTATATGGAACTCTATAGGTATGTGATCAAGTTTGCTGAATGACTGACTGAGCAAATGAATGAATGATCTTGCCACTGAAATTAACATTAGGTGAAGTGTGTTGGAAGGATGGACGGACAAACTGGCTAAACCTCTCCTTTTACACACACAAAGATATTCCTTAGAGTCATCGTTCCTCGTCTCCCTGAGGCACAGGAATTGAGGGCCTCATTTCTTCAATCTATTACTATAGTCAATGCTCTGATAAATTAATCACTTCCAGTCCTAGTAGACAAAGGACTCAGTGATACTGCCATCTGAAGTATTATACCAACAGCGGCTATGAGGAAAACAGAAGCCACACTAGATATTTCAAACAAGGGGATTTAATGCAGGGAATTGATTACACAGGCTTGGTAAGGCTGAAAGAGGGCCATTGAAATAACCCAGATGTTAGTAAACACAGGAAGCAGCTACTAACCTTAGGGCTGGGGGAACGAAAGGGAAGAGATGGTGTTACCAGAACCTAGAAGCTTTGTTGGGGGACCCCCCACGGCTGGTGCCTGGCCCTCTCTGGGGGCTGCTGCGCGGCTGCTGCTTGGGCTTCTGAGGGGGGCGCTGCTTGGCTGGTGGTGGTCGGGCCTCTGGGCGGGGGCGTGGCTGACGCTCAGACCTCGGAGGGGACCGTGGCTTGGCTGGTGCTCTGACCACCGCGGGGGGTGCCGCTGGCTGTTTCTTGGGCTTCTTAGGGGACGTTGCACGGCGGCTGGGGCTGAGAGGGCCAAAAGAAGCTGGAGGCTGGAGCCATGGCTCTCCTCTGCTGCTTAAGGGATGCTGACAGGTGCTGGAAACAGGAAGGCAGGCCCTGCTCCCCCTCCCACCTTCCAATCTCCCTCCAGTACCTTCCAATGCCACAACCTACTGGGGAGCTGTCTGTCAGGGGATCGGGAGAAGAGCAGTTTGCAGAGCCCCAGCCCCAGCATCACAGAGTAAAGCAGGAAGGGGGGCCTCGGAGCTGAGAGACAAGAGGCCAACATCCAGCTGAGGTGCTGGGTGGGCAGTGCAGACCACTTACCTGGTCTTTTGGCAGGCACAGCAGATCCAGTCCTCTTCCTTCTTCTGGTAGAAGCAGCCACTTCGACAGATGCTGTATTTCCGATCCACGATCTCACGTTTGGAGTTGAGGAAGGTGAATGGTGGGCAGCAACGTATGACGAAGTGCTCGGAAAACTTCTGGTTCTTGGAGAGTCTGGGACCCTCCTTACCCGTTTTCTGACTCATCTCACTGGAAATCATCCATGAAACAGCACATGAGATGAGGGAGCTGTGTGCTCCAAGAACCCACTCCCTGCTGCTCCCATAGTCCAGGTTAGCATTCAAGGTAGTCCTAAATCCTGAAGCTAGAAGATAAATTTCCTGCCCAACTCTATTGAAAGGACCTAAATTAAGGGCTTATTAATTTTTATTTGTGTATTTTTAATCATGTTTTCTTAAAATTAGCTCTTTTTTCTCTTATGTTTTAGTGACCCATTTAGAACAGGAAAAATATTACAAAACCAAACATATCCCTGGTAAAATAATATTCTAGATTTAGGAAAGGGCTTGTCTCTAAAAAACAAAAGAATAGACTTTATTAAAACCATATCACTGTTAATATCATAAATACTACACAATGGTGAAAAAGAACAACCTACTGATACACACATCACCATGTTTGAATCTCACAAACATAATGTTCAACAAACGAAGCCAGACACAAAGGAACACAAGCTGTATGATTCAGTTTGTACAATGTTCAAAAATAGGCAAAATTAATCTACTCTAGGCTGCGGGAAATCACAACATAGTTGTACATGGAGAAGATGAGCTCTGACTGAGAAGGGGCATGAGAGAGCCTGTTGGGGGCTGAGAATGTTCTGGATCTTGACCTGAGAGGTGATTACACAGGTGCGTGCATATGTAAAAATTTAGTGAACTGTACACTTAGTTTTTGTGCGCTTTACTGTTTACTTCAGTTAAAAAGAAAGAGGAGGAGGAGGAGAATGGACTAAAGAGAATTTGAGTCTTGAAAAATTTCCAGAAGGGGGTTTAAAACTAAATTATTCCAATATCCTTGCTGTGAACGTGACAAGTGCAGAAATAGCCCTAACCTAATACTCTCAGACACTGGTGCACATGGGGACATAAATGACCATTAATCAACAAGAGTCAACAAATATATATGGGTGGTGGGCGTGTCCTGGACGCTGAGAAGGTCCCTGCTCTCAACAGGCTCAAGGTCAAGTTGGAGACACAGACGTGCAGTGTGTGTCACAAAACAGTGTGATGTTGACCAATAGAAGCATGCACCAAGTTCAAGGAAAGCGTGGAGAAGGGGTGGATTCTTTGACGACAGAACTTATGATCTTATTTTTTAAGGATGAATACATTAAAAACAACTAAGTTACTCTCAGGGGATATTTGAAAACTTTTTTCTGATGTGACTGTCTTCTGCTACAGACAGAAATGTGGGCTGAGGAGTACGTTGAGTGGAGTTAACGAAAAATACATATTTTTTTCACCTCAGTTTGTGGTAGTCCGAATTATGTGCTGCACCCGTTATGCACGCTGCAAGTGTTCTTTCCCAGTATTTCACCTGCTTTTATCATGCAAAAATAATTAATTTTTATGTGATTAAGTTTCTTAGTTCTCATTCAGAGTTTTACATTTTGGTTGAGAAGGTCTTCCCCACTCCATCTGCTTTTAGACATACTCAAGTGCTGTACATCTCATTGTAAAAGAAAATCCTCTCTGGATCACACTTCCACATCTATTTTCCTCCCTATGGCTCTTCTCTCTATGGGGAAAGTTCTTGTAAAATTATCAATGCTTCTTTTCTCCATTTCTCCATCCCCTCCCCCTCAACACACTCCAACCTGGCTTCTGTTCCTTTTCTCCCAAAGAAAAACAGTCTTCCATTGCTCCCCAAAGATCTGCATGCTGCTAACCCAATTGTCTTCCTACTTGATCCCTCTCTCCGTCTAAATTTTTCCCTTTCCTGTCATACGACATTCTCCTAGATTCTCTCCTCCATCTCTATCCCTTCCTTCTCAGCTTTTCTTATAGGGTCATTTGCTTTATCCAACACTTTTAGGGTTAGAGCTCCTCAAGGTACAATAAATACTAAATGGTTATTGGGGTTACTTTCACCCATTCAATTCAGCATATCTTATACACTTAGGTTGTACCAGGCACAGTGCTCAGCTGCTGTAGTAGTCGCAAGCTGAATCATGCTTAGTCCAGTCCTTAGGAAACTTATGCACTAGCTGGGGAGACAATCAAGGATGCATATAGTGTATAAATAGCCACAAAACCCATTTATTGAACCCAAATATGAACAAGTCCCTGAGGGAGTTGAAGGGATGGATCAGATAAACATCTTGCTGACAGCTCACAGTATGGATGGAGAAATGTTACACAGATGTCAGTAAGCACAGTACTAGAAATGCTCTGGAACATGAGAACGTGCTGGTAAAACAGCACAGAAAATCCACAAGAAAGGAGGCAATATGTTGGGCTGGGGAAGCAGGGGAAACTTCATGGGTAGAAACATTTCATCTGGCCCTAAGATTTGGACAGTCAGAAGTAAGGAATTGTTGATACCTAAGCAAAGATACAGAGAGGTGAATTACAGTCCCCCTGAGAGCCCGCCCTGTCTGCAGTGCAGTGTGGAAGAACAGATAGTGCTCATCATACAGGTGCTGAGGGAGGACAGGAGTTACCAGTCACTGTGAAGGATCTAGTCCTGGTGACTGGAGGCATGGTCATGACATCAGCAGATCAAAAGACTAAATAGATGAGAGGGAGGGAGATCATCTCATTGGTCTAGAATGCCGTGAGTTTAAGGTGCTCAGGGCATCCATGTGGACATGGGCACCCAAAACTCAGGAGCTAGAGCTGTCATCTTGAGAGTTCTTCACTTCGTGGAAGAAGCACAACCTTGGGAATGGATGCAATGAGTACGAACTGAATGAAGAGCCAGACGAGGGAGTGCTCCCAGGAGGAATAGTGGGCCTACCTTCAAGCTTCAGGTAGAGGGGCCAGGGAAGAAGGAGCAGCAGGGGCAGTCAGAGAGGCAGGAGGAGAAGCAGCCTCTTAGAAGAGAAATTTCCAAATTTGCAGGAGGAGATGGTCAGCAGTATCCAAAGAAACCCTTGGTGCAAACAGATATTTTTAGACCAATGAGAAACTAAATCTGATTTTTAGGGTCTGATTCATTATAGGACCTTAAAGATCTGCCAAACCCCTACCCAAGTCCTACATATGTGGTAAAGTTCAGCTCAAGTTTCTCCTCGCAGGGGAAATAATGAAATAAAACACTCCAGGATCAACCCGCAGGAGTCATTTCTTTAGGCCCCCAACACCTGGAGACTATGTTACTCAACTTTTCACAGACAACCCAGACATCCCCAGTGCCTCCAGCCTTCTGAGGTCATCTTTTCCCAAATGGCTCAGGCACTCGCCACAAATAAAAGAAAATCTATCACTCACCTCAGATTTTTAAGAATGACTAGCATGGGGTAAAAGGGAGATTTTAAGCCTCTTATGACTGAATTCCTGCTCTGACTGAATTCTCAATTCCCATCCACCTGCTGTGATGCGTGGGCCCACTCTATGCCCATCCAGACCCGCCCCCCATCCCGTCCCCCACCCAGCCATCTCTTCCTCCGGCACGTCAGGGGAAAGTTCTCAAATTCTTATGCTATGGCAACTTTTTTCACTCTCTGCGTTCCCCCACAATGTCCAGCAGGGGACAGCCCCACCTCATGTAATCCATCATGTGTGGTCCTGAAGGAAAAAAATTCTCTTCCCTGGAAACTCGACATTATTCTAGGGCAACCAGCTGAAAATTCATCGAGCTTTAAAACAACATTTTCCCCTTCCTCTTAGTAAAATGTTTATAGTCTGTGGAAAGGCTCTGGCCGCTAACCATTTCCCCTGGTAGCGTTCAGTTGGTTATAGTCACTGCCTCTCCAACTCTTTGCCCCACATCATGCTCCAGTTTAGGAATTCGAAGCTCCAAATTCTTAACAAGAGCAATATACCCACGAGTCATCTTTTCCCAACACTTCAGGCTTACTAGTAAATTAGTTATAGCTACAGGCAGATGACCAACAGCAGAGGAAAGAATTCACATTTACTAAGCACCTAGTGTAAGGTGGTTGCTTTATATACTTTACCTAGTTTTTATAATATGATATTATCATCAACAAATTAAAGATGAGAGAGACTGAGAAACATGACCAAGTTCATAAAGCCAGTAAGAGGCAGACAGGGGATTTGAATCCATGTCTCTATAACTACAACATCCTGCACCCTTTGAGCAGGTCCAACACTATCTGTGGCTCCTGTGCTCAGCCCTCCTCTCTGAGGAGCAGGAGTCCAGGCCCTGGGTCCAGACATCGGGGGACTGGAGATGGGCCCAGGAATGGGATAAGGCTGCATAGATGCATGGGTCTATGTCCTAGGGTGAAAAAGATGGAAAGTTGGGGAAACAGTGTACTGAAGAAGGAAAGGTAGAGAAAGGAATTTGGAGACATGACACAGTGTGGTGGCCAGAACTTCTCAGCAGAGCAAGAAGGCACATAGTGGGATTCTAGAATGTAAACTCGGAGAGGGTCCTGAGGGGAGTGGGACCCCCAGGTGCTTCCTCCACTCCCACCTCCAACTCATTAGTTCGTTTTAAAATCTGTATTCACTGCTGAAAATTAGAAAACTTGGATTAATTAAAATAATAAAAATCCCAAAATTTTTATCCCATAACCACTTATAAAATATTTGAACATTTTTTATTTGAGAATATTTACATGTAAATATATAGTCAATAAAAAGTAAGACCGTACTTCACATATTGTTCAAATTTATACACTTGGACAATCATTCATTTTTTTAACTTTTATGGCTATAGACATGTTATATCTCTTATGGCTTTTATAATCAATGATAAATTTATAGTTACAGCTCCTTTGGTACTTTATATTACATATCTGCACCCTCTCTCATTTTTCTTGATTAATCTTGCCAGAATTTATCTACTTTGTTATTCTTTTCAAAAACAAGCTTTTGGTTTTCTTGCTTGTACTTGCTCTTTGTTTTCTAGTTCATTAATTTCATATTATGCATTTATTATTTCCTTAATTTTCTTGAGGTTTATGTTCTTGTTCTTTTTCTCTTTTCTTGAGTCAAGTGCTTCTCCATGTGCATTTATGGCTATAGTTTTTCCGTTAGGTACAACTTTAGCTAAGTAACAAAAGCATTAACATAAGTTTTTCATTTCACTTGATTCTAAATATGGATGAGTTCTTTGATCAATTATTTTTTAAAATCCATTGTAAAATTTCCAAGTCTTTAGAGTTATTTTTGTTACATTGACTTCCAATTCTAATGCATTCTAGTCAGAGACCGTGGTCTATGTGATAATGATTCTGATATTTGTTGAGATTTGCTTTATGGCATGGTTCATAGCCAATATTTCCATATGTTCCATGGGTGCTTGGAAAGATTATGTATTTCTGGAAACAATTTGGAATTATCTAGTGAAGACAAAAATGTGCACAAACTGCAATCTAGCAACCTATTCTTGGGCACGGCAGCCATCTTGGATCATGGCTCAATCTTGTAGATGAAGCCACGTGGTGGAGCACAAAGCCTGGAGGAGCCTGAATCCTTGATGACTGTGGAGCTGCTGTTCCAGGTCTGGACTCTTGAACCAAGAGCACCTTTTACATGAGAGGCAATCTCATGGAAAAAAGCTTCCACCTTATTTAAACCATTATTATTTCAGTTACAAGCAATCAAATACAATTCGAAATTAATATACTCAGTTTCCTCATCTAAATGAAGGTGTTTTATTCAGTTTGGGCTACTATAAAAAAATACCATAAACTGGGTGACTTATAAACAACAGAAACTTTTTCTCATAGTTCTGGAGGCATGGAAGGCCAAGATCAAGGTGCCAGCAGATTCGATGTTTGGTGAGGGCACACTTCCTGGTTCACAGAAGTCATTCCTCTTCCTGTGTCCTCAAATGACAGAAGGTACATGAGAGTTCTCTGTAGCCTCTTTTTAAGAGCACTAATCCCATTCATGAGGGCTCCACTCTCATGACCTAATCACCTCCCAAAGGTCAGCCTCCTAATACTATCACATAGAAGATTAGATTTCAACATATGAATTTTGGAGGACACAAACATTCAGTCCATAATGGAGGGGAATAGTGAATAATAATACTTAACTCAGAGGACTTTTGAAAGTATTAAGTAAAATAAAGTAGGTAAAGAACTTGGCACTGTACCTAATGCAAATAACTTGCCTAATAAATTCCAATTCCCCTTCACTGACTAAGAATTCATTCAAGTGGCTTGTCTAACTTTACTGCATTCTTCGGACATATTCTCTGTGTGTCTCACTGTGTATCTCTGATGACACTTAACTCAAGCATTAATTACATTTTTATTTACTTTAGTGGGTAAAAACAAATCACTATAAACAACTACATGATTTTTTCACAAAAGATACCACCTAATTGCAGAGCAAAGATGATTATGAACTGTCTGGCGGGATGAAGAGAAAAATAACTGAATTTGAAACTGTAATAGAATCATCTCCAGACTTTCCAGATGTTCTCATACACTCTTAACTAGAGAGGAGGGAAAGTGAGGCAGGTTTTTAAAGAAGGAGGAAAAGGAAGCAAAGGAGAAGAAGCAAAGGGAGGAGAACAAGAACCTCCCCCCACTATTTAGCAGGCACCAACCATGTTACAGATGTTTCATATCTATTATTTCCAATTCCCAAAATAACCCTTCGAGGTTGTCCCTACTGTCCCCATTTTAGAGATGAGGAAATTGAGGCCTGAAGAAGTTAAGCAAACTCTCCAAGATCATTTAATAATAATAAAAGAGCAAACTCATAATGGTCAATACAACTAGTCGACTAGGCGCCATCCACTCTCCCCTTCTTCCATAACAAAGCTTGATTTTGTTTGGCACCATGATATGCCCAGTTCAGTACATACAACTCCCCATGTGGCCATGTTCTAGCCAATGAGCACTAGGCAAAAGTACTGGAAGGGTGACTTTTCTTCAATAATAAGGCTGTTATTCAAGAAAAGAACCTCCCTTAGTGAGTGCATCCAGCCCAATTCAGCTGCCCCCAGGCCCCAAGAGCTGGGATTATTTCAAGCCTTTGGACTTTGTCCCATAGGGCATCTTCCCACCCAACAATTGAACAATTGATGATTAAACTCCTGCCTCCACCGCCTTGAGGCTCAGCCCAAAGCCAAGTTACCTCTTCGGGAGAATTTCCAGAGCCTTCTCTCTCCCAAGGAGAAATGATCACTCCTCCCTCTTCTGTGCCCTGACCTTGTGTGCTGTTCATAATTCTAGGAGAGTTTCTGCAACCTTTAGTGTTACACTTACTGCTTCACTGCCTTCTAAGATTTTTCTGGCCTCAGAGCCTTGTTGAATGGCTGATTCAGAACAGGCATTCAGTAGATGCTTGATTATAATGAGAGAGAGAACAAAGAGTGTCTCTCACAACCGCTGCAGGGGCCCTCAGCCTGTCGCTGCCTGTCCCCAGATGTTCCCTAGCAGTCCCATGTTCCCTCAGGGACCTTTGCTTTGGCTCAGGCAACAGAGCCTGTTCAATGAAAAGGGCAACACAAGAAGAGACCTTTCTAACTGATCTTGAAAGTTATAAAGCTGGCCTTTTTAGGAAAAAAAAAGACTTCATGAACGCATTATGCCTTTTCCTAACTCATGTAAATTAACTAGCAAGCTTTAATCAATACACACATTTGATTACACATTCTGGAGATGGCACTAGCATCTCTATATAACCACCAGTGTCACGGGTATCTTTAAACACAGGTCACTATTCCCTAAGGAGATTGCAGGTGGAAATTAGAGACCTGAATACAAAATGGATTTTCTTCCTTCCAGCCATCTTTTCTTCCTTTCTACCATCCTTTTTAAAAGGCAGTTGGGATGTGGGGTAATTATTTAATAGAAACGGCATGTGGCCCTTAGTCCTGGGCAGGCCTCTGGAAAGGAAAGACAACACAAGTAGTAAGTAGACAGGCTGCAGCCCGTGCACTCCTTCGCATCTACCTGGGACCACAGGAAGCCAAACGTGGAAATGGGTGGACACTCTGCAAAGCGAAGGGAGGGTGCAGGCCAATATTTGGGAAACAGAATAGTTCTTCAATTCTTGTCAGTCAGTTCCCTCAGAGTCATGAGCAAGGCCTTGCCCTTGTCTTATTGTAAAGAACTCAACATGGGAAGGACGAGAGGCAAGTCTTCACCCTGACTATCCAGGCCCTGAACTCTATGTGAGAACGCTATTCTGGCCTCAGATATCAAAACTCCAAGGGAAGACAACGACCAGTCTCAAGACTTCTTAATAAGCCACATGGATTAAGGAATGGGGTGTTTAATACATACTTGGGGAAAAAGAAATTTAAGTTGACAAGCAAAGCAACAAGTTTCAAATTTATTCAAACTCAACTCAGTTGTACCAAAAAAAAAGTACAACTTTTTCATTTCTGTATAATTGTATAATTGATACAATATACAATTTCTTTCCCTTTCTGGGAGAGAAAGGGGAAGGGACAAAGTAACCAAATCTCCGAATTTATACTGCCTGGATCACTTCTGGCGTAAACTGTCTCTTCCTAATAAGCAGTCAGTTAAAGTTCAGTTCCCTAACAGAACTATTCCTTACCTCCCTCTATTCCATCTCCAGGTGAGCATAATATGGAAAATCTGAGAGTCCTCACGGCAATGAGGGAAGGGATGGCTGGTCTGGGTGTTGTCCTCCGCTGCTGGACTCAGCCATAAGATGCCTCATCTGCTCTCACCGGGCCCTTTGGCATGAATGACACATGTTACTGCAGACCACTTGATCCCACCGAAGCCACTGGTCTTTAGGGTCCCTACTCAGAAGCCTCCTACTCTGATCTAGCTGTCCTCTCACCTCCTCCACATCCACTCTAGGTAACCTCTGGTTCCCATGCATGCCATGCACTACATGTGGGGAATCAAGAGCCCTACCTTGAGGCCATTGGCCTAGACAGCTCCCCAACCAAAACTGTGCACCCAACCCTGGGCCACATTGGATGTGGCTGAGGGCTGGCCTCTCCCAGGGGCTTGCAGCCTGTCTCCACTCTTCCTATTGAAGTGTGTCACAAACATCCACCACCCCTCATACCTACACCCACAATTTCAAACCTATCTGAATGTTTCTACCACACCATACCACGTCCCCACCATGATTTTATGGTTTCATCCAGAGGAAAGAGAGAACATGGATGTCTGCCTCCTTAGTTTTCCCTCTCTCTTTCCACTTCGAATGTACTCGTTGGACAAAGAGTTCCCCCATAAATTCACAAAGTGGAGAAGCTTGAATAAATAAGGACATGCTCTTCCTAGGGCTTTCCTTTCCTTTTCTCAACTCCTTCCTATACATGGCTATAATTTCTCATTAAAACCTGCCCTGCCACCCTCTCTGCCTTCATATGATTAGGAATAATTGTAAGGAAGAGATGGAAGTAACCAGAAATTGTAGTTTTCATAGATTTGTTTCAAGAACAAGATGAAATGTCTAGCATTTAAAATCCTGAATTATTTCAAAGCAGGGAGAAGTAACTTCAAGTGCTTAAAATACTTGTAAATCTTGAATGAATTTCTGTTAGATCTTGCCTCCATTTCACAATTTAATATTTACTCTCCAGAAATCAAAGTCCTCGAGAGCAATAAAATCTTTTAACCTATGAGAGGAGACAGAAATAAAATATATTTTCAGTAATAATGTAAGAATATGGATGAAAAATAGTAAATGAAATTTTAATTACTGGGAGGAACAGGGAGTGAGAATGTTAAAAATACCCAAACTTAATTTCTGCATATTCCCTAGAATTGGGGGATGGTCTTTCAAAACATTGTCAGAACAGAAAAAGTGAAGCATTCATTATTCTATACATTTCTTAAAATCAGGCTAGCTTATTAAAAGAGAGAAGATGGGTGAGGAAATTTTGGTGTTTTTGTGAAAATACAATTTAAACAGTACGGCTTTGATTTCTATTGAGTTATTAATATATTTATAATTGATTAACCATGGAAATATTAGGTAGCTATTTGAAGACCAGCTGAATATAAGGTAGCAGTTTTATTTTTTTATTTTTATAAAGAGATTTTATTTTTCCTTTTTCTCCCCAAAGCCCGCCGGTACATAGTTGTGTATTTTTAGTTTAGTTGTGTATTTTAGATCCTTCTAGTGGTGGCATGTGGGATGCTACCCCAGCATGGCTTGATGAGCGGCACCATGTCCGCGCCCAGGATCCGAACCGGCGAAACCCTAGGCTGCCATAGCAGAGCGCACGAACTTAACCACTCCGCCACCGGGCCAGCCCCAAGGCAGCTGTTTTAAAAGATGCTTATGAAGAGGTTGTACTGACATAAGAAAATTCTTCTGTAATATCAAATGAAAGCAGCAAGAAGCTAGATTATTTATTGTATGGCACCAACACCGGGGAGCCAGGCATCCCAGCTGAAGCCAGCTGAGAGTCAATGCCGCAGGCCACATCAAGAGAGCTCCTAGCTCCCTCAGGTACCCTCAGACACCTCCAGAGGTAGCACCCTGAGCAGGGGGCTGGGGCAGAGCCAGGGGGACCTCGCAGGGGGAGCGCCGCAAGCTCAGATCCTGTCTTGAATAGATGAGATACCGGCACTCTGGAGACTTCAAGCAATCTTAGGGCTTATCTTCAGGCTGGTGAAGGCCTTCTGAACTGTCAATGGGAGCTATTGGGACAGTTTGTGACCACAATGACCCCGCTGACAGAGAAGGCCAGGTGGTATCAGACTACTTGTATAAAAAATATACACAGAAAAAGACTGAAAGAAAATATAGCCAAATACAACACTAACACTTGGCCATTCATTTGAACACTTTTTCTGTGCCTCCTAAGTGCCAGTGGTGAACAAGACAAAGAAGGTTCCTCAACTCACAGAGTTTAGGGTACAGTGAAGGGACTTTAACAGATCATCCCATGAACAATGTATAAAGGAGAGTGATTAGGCTCCCGGGTGCTAGAAGAGAATATAACAGTGAGATAAATTTAGATTGAGAGGCTAAGGAATGATTCTGAAGGAAGTAATATTTAATTTGAGATCTGAAGGATAAGTGGGAGCCTTCCATGCATAAGGGAGGAGAGAGTTCCAGAAAGAAGTCCTTGACGTGCTCAAAAACCAGAGAAGGGGGTGTGACTGGAGCATGATGAGGCTGGAGGGTGAGATGTGGGCAAAACAATGCAGGGCCTTGAAGGTGACCTAAAGATAGAAAGAACAGGAAGGCAGTGAAGATCTTGACTAGAAGAGATAAGACTTCCTATTTATGTTTCATGAAGATCACTCAGGCATCATTTTTTTAAAGATTGGCACCTGAGCTAATATCTGTTGCCAATCTTCTTTTTTTCTTTCTTCTTCTCCCCAAAGTCCCCCGGTATATAGTTGCATATTTCAGTTGTGAGTGCCTCTGGTTGTGCTCATTCAGGCTTCTTGCAGTGTAGATTGGAGTGAAGCAGGAGTGGAGGCAAGGACACCAGTGAGAGAACACAGGGCCTTCACTAGGGCAGTGGTGGTGGAGGGGATTCTGGAAGCAAAATTAATAGGACTTAAGGATAGAATGGATAAAGGATTCACTGGAAAGGATAAAGCAAGGATGACTGCCAGATTCATGGATTAAGCAAATACACAATGGAGCGATTTACTGAGGTGGAGAAGGCTGGGGGACAGGGGAGTAAGGGTACATACAGTTTTGGACATTCATTTATTCACTAAATATCAATTGAGCACCAACCGTGTGCCAGACATGCTAAATCTGAGATGCTTGTGAGGATCTAGTCCTGATGATGCCACACAGTAGACTGCTCTGTACTGGAAGCATTAGCATATGGCTCAAAATTGCAAAGGATCAGAGTATAGGGTGAGCAATAGAGGAAGCAATTTCTCCCAGAGAAATTAGGTTAGGTGATGGATCATTTTATTAGGAAGAGAATAAGTTTAGAGACGGGGCAAGGGAAGAATCGAGAGTTCAGTCTTAGGCATGTTCAGTTTAAGAAACTTGTGGAGCCTCCAAGCAACTGTGAAAGGACGTGATTGGCCACAAGGGTCAGGAGATAGCAAGAGAGAGAAAGAGGGTGATAAATAAATCTTAGTGTATTTGACAGGGAGATGAGATTTGCTGCCAAGGGAATGCAGAATACCCAGGAGAGAGGGAATATGGAAAAGAATAACTGGAAAAATTTATTCACAGTAGCAACAAGAATCCCAAGATACCTAGAAAAAAAGAGAAAATTAAAATGTGTAAATTAAAATGCGTAAATCTTCGTGGGGAAAAATTTCAAAACTTCAGTGAAAGTATAAAAGAACATGTGAATAAATAAAAAGAAAAATGGTTCATAGATAGAACAGATTTATATCACAAAGATGCAATCTTTTCCAAAACTAATTCATAAATTATATGTCTTTCTTACTAAAATCACCAAAAGTCTTTTGGAACATGACAATCTGATCTGAGGAAAGAGCAAAGGACCAAGAATCACCAAGAAAATTTTTTAAAGAATGACAAGACTTTTCCTACCACATATCAAAACATATTACTAAGAGATAGTAATTAAAATAGTTGGCACGGGCCCAGAAATAGACAAGTAGACCACAGAGAAAGAAAACAGAACCCAAAAACAAACCCAAGAGAACTTGATGTATGATAGAGATGTTCTTACAAACCAGTAGAGATAAGGCAGATTTGTCAACAAATAGTGTTGATATAATTAACTTTCCAGGTGATATAATTGACTACATCAAATTAACAACTACTGGACATCAAAAGACAGCATAAACGTGGCCACAAGATAACCAACACTAGGAAAATACAACACATATAACATACAAAGAATCACTATCCGGAATCTTTAAAGAACTCCTACAAATCAATATGAAAAAGAAAACCCAATAGAAAATTGGACAAATGATTTGAAGAGGTAATTTACAGAAGAGAAAGCAGTAGATGACCCGTAGGTATATAAAAATGCATCCAAACTCATCAATTATCAGAAAGATACAGATCAAAACAGTAATTAGATATCATTCCACAAGCATCATACTGGTTAAAGTGAAATAGCCAAACATCAAATGAAGCAAGGAGGTAGGCAAACAGGACCGCTCACACACAGCGGGTGGACATGCGACTCAGAAGAGCCACTTGGGAGGGCAAATCAACAGTCTGTAGTAAAAATGACAGTGTGTGTGTAAAGGCCCAGGAATTCCACTCCTCAGTGTACTTCTTATAGAAATCACAGTGCACATGCACAGAGAGGCACATACAACAGTGCTGACTGCAGCTTCACTTGAAAAATCAACGAAAAACACAAAACATAAACCAAAATTCGTTAGAGAAACAGAGAAAGTGCGATAAATTCATGCAATGGAATTCTGTGCAGCCATTTAAAAGAATTAACTAGATCTCTATATGTGGACGTGAACCCTCTCTCAAAAAACCACACTTTTGAATTTTAAAAAGTTGAAGAAATGATGAACAGATAGAATAGAGACTCTGTGTAGGTACATCTTTGACAGTATCTATCTTATCACTAGGAACTCTGTTATGCATTTGTTATTTTGCTTGTTTTTGTCTCCCTCATGAAAATAGAGGCTTCATGAGAGCAGGCACTTTCTTTCCAGTTTATCCTCAGTGCCTTCTAGCGCTGAAGGCATCGCAGAGAAAACCTTCAACAAATGAGTTATTGCCGTGTTTTTGTTTGCAGATACATATGTTTGCGTGTGTCATTTTTGCCATGATTTTTATGCA